CTTATACCTACGGCTAAAGGTATAGGTTTGCTGGATAGAGGTGTGTGTGTGAGGAGATATTGTGTGTAATTTTCGTAACTGTGTCTGAAGTTAAGGCGACTAGTGAGAGGCTTGACTACGAAGGAGTCCAGCCAACACACGCACATGATCATCATCTTAGCACCATAGGATTAGATGGGAATATCAACTAGAGAGATGTGCTTTTCGCAATTTAAAGGAAAAAAAGGAAGCAGTGCATTCTCACAACAACGGTTATGACTCAAGCCGGACACAGGACCCCAAAAAATGAGACACAATATGGGTGGAGATGGAGGAGAGGATAATTGAGTCTTTGGGGCTTGAAGCCTAGGGAGAGGAAGGTGCCAAGGCATTTGCTTAAGTGTAGGCATGGGCATCATCTGCCCTAAATCCTTAAATATGGCGTAATCGGGGACAGCAATTGAAGGCCCTTAAGCAGCCAGATTTTAGACAACCAGACAGTGATTTCGATTAGCAGCGACCAATTGACAAGCGAGGTAGAAAAAAGGGGTGGCGGAAAGTGGGTCAGGAACCCTGAAAACGGCACCTGGTATCGGTGGTTGAGAGAGATGCGGCACTAGAAGGTAGAACAAAAAATAGGTGCGATGAGTGCTGCCACAGCGGTTGAACAGAAAATTGGTTAAGGGGATTGCCCTTACTTGTCGTTTTTATAAATTGTATCTCAATGCTAACGGTGGCGCCTATCACTGACGATGCCGGTAAAAAGTTTGGGAATTCGCCAAGTCAATCTTTCCAAGCTCGAAATCACGAATACTACGGCAGAGGCGACAGGACTAGGACTCTCCGACCAGTTCGATGCATTTTAGGTTTTCGCTTCGTAAATGCGTTCAATACGGGTCTAATAAGGAAAATTTAATTTAGGTCTAATAAATGAATCAAAAATAATAATATAATCCGCACAATAATTTAGGAAGTACTCTCTAAATATCACGAATAATATTACTTGCAGAACATTAAAAAATATATCTATACAAAGTTGATAATTCTTTCCCCAGTTTTAAATAAAAAGCTCACATTCCATCAAAGCAGATGAGAGACCCAGCAGGCCGATGGGTGTAAATACGCAGGGCCAAGTGTATATCCGTAAAGGTAGGAGTTGATGGACCCTCAACACCAGCTTCCTCAGTCGCATGATTTGATCCAGTTTCAAGGTGTGGTTGAGAAGAATCACTAGAGTCGGATTTTGGAAGTGTTGACAGTGTTGATGTCACTGTAAGACTGGGACTGACGCCAGTCAAAGATTCTGAAGGGGCTTTACCTAATTCTGCTGTAGGAGTGGAGCTGGATGAGGATTGACTAGGAAGTGAGGGAGTCTTCGATGGTGAAGGGGGACCAGCCGATGGTGGGACAAGATAGCAGCAGCCAAGAAAGAAAGCACTCAAGCAAGATGCTTGTGGGACAGCAGGAGAACAAGATGATTTATCGGGACTAGGACCGGAGGGGGTACTGGCTCCAGAGAGGTGAGATGAGCATGTCTGATCCCTAACGGTCATAAGACTAAATGTAGGAAATGAAAAGAGAAAAGATTTAAATAAAATGATCAACATTTAAAAATAAATAATGGATAAAACAAAATCATGTTATGACATGCAAATTCCTAATCAGTCTTAAGAAATCAATCTCTAAGTTCAGTTATCATAATGTAGGAAAGAGAGACCAAATATGGCCATAACGCTTGTACTAAAAAAACATAAAATTCTATTCTAGATGAGTAAATTTCAAAACTACCAAGAGATCTTGAGTAATGGTTGTGTTCATCCTAGCCGTATTAGGCGATAGAGGATGAACGATTTAAAATCAATATATTCTATCCAGTGGGACTCTTTCAAGGACTGATTTTGTTGTCGGTGGTTGCGACTTAAAGTCATACTCTACTTCTAAGGATTAGGTGAAATGGCTAGGCTTGCCAAAGTAAAGCAAATTCTAGGAGGCTCCGCAGTTTTATTACCAGATTTGTATCGTCCTAAAACCATGATGCCTTGATGAATCGTCGCTTTACAAAGAGTTCTGTCAAAAAGAGGGCCTAAACACGTCAGAAACATTCGCATTTTATTTTAGAGGATCGGATATTAAAGATGAAACAAGCTTTGCATTAGACCACTACAAGACCTCTTGAACCATGACAATTTTACCCAGGAGACCAGAGACCCTTTTTCACGAAACCAAGCAGACTATTGACACGAACGTGCTCAAGGGCTTATCGAAACCTAGCTTTTCTAAATATGTGATGCTACCAAGGCTAAGAAAATGATTATTTAGTTAACTGCATAGAATGCTGCGGCTGCGAAAATA